TGGTAAAGACACTCATGAAAGAGGACTTCCAGAACTACTTCAGAAGGTGGCAAGAATGATGGGAGAAGTGTGGGCGTATCGGGGCGGGGGGGGGGGTAGGAGTGGAAAGCATATTTTGAGGGGAATTCATGGCAACGTGCCTTTTACCATAATAACAATTTTTAAAAATTTAAACATTCACCATTTATTTTGATCCCCTCGTGTATAAACCATTTAGAATATTGCCTTGACACATAGTGCTTAATAACTGTTTCCACTGTTATTGATTTCCTTTCCTCTGGCACTGTGTGTATCAGTCATTTGCCTTTCAATACCGGCAGCTGAGTGTTTGCGGCAGATTCCTCACACAGAAGGCCCCACCATGGAAATCTGTGTCTTGCATAATCTCTGCTCTCACATTCCCAGCACAGGCCTGGCCTGCCGCCTGGTAGGTGGAGAGGGTCGCAGTGACTGGCCACAAACCCGGGGCAACAATTCTGCCTTCGTCTGGTCTTACTCCCCCCAGTGGCTTCTTGCATATAATGGGTGATTAAAATACGGTGAATGTTTAAATTTTATACAATTTATTACATAAAGTACACACCGTCGTGAATCCCCCTCAAAATGCTCCTCCTTGCCTCGAACACACTTATCACTTCATTCTTAGCACTTTCTGAAGTGGATCTGGAAGTCCTCTTTTTCGTCTTCACAAGGTGTGAGCAAAAATATGCTGCAGGCTGCTTCCCAGTGCCATTCCACGGAAAGACAGGCTCGGAAAAACCTTACACGGTGTCCTCATCCACCTTATTCTCAGGATCCGGCACCGTGCGACTTCTGTTTCTTCCCCAGAGTCAAAGTGACCATGAAGGCAAATGTTTTGAACTGATTCAGGATATTGAGGCAGCCACGACATAGCAACAAAAGACGCTCAGGAAAGAGGACTCCGGAGCTGCTTCTAAAAGGCAAGAATGAAGGGAGAGGCGTGTTTGAGCAAGATGGAATATTCCGAGGGTTGGTTATGGCACGGTGTCTTCTGGGTAATACTTTAAAAAAATTTAAACCTTCCTCTTCCGTTTGGTCACACCTTGTGGACCTGCTAGGGCAGGTGCTGAGGGGCTCCCTGTGTTTTGTCTCCTGTGCCTGACGTTCTTTGGGATTTCCTTCCCCACTCTCCGGCCTTTTCTATCTCTAGGAGTAGGGTTTTCCTCAAGGGCTCAGCCCTGGGCAGGCAGCTTTGCCTGCAGTGCAGTCAGGCCGTGTATGTTGACTGACTACCCGACACACTGACTCTGGGGCCTTTATCGGCTTGAACCTCAATCGGGTCTTTGAGGAAGCTGCGGTGGAACACACCGGCTTCCTTCAGAGGCCCCTGTTAAAGCTGGCGCACTCCATGCCACTGAAAAGCTAACCACATATGCAAATGAGCGACGAGGCCAGGCTCCGAAGAAAGTGCTTCCGGTTCACCGGGGAGGGTGGCTCTGCCCCCGAAAGGATGCAGTCTGACCAAGTGGGAGGAGGGTGTGGCTTTGGGCCATAACCCACCTTTCCTGGTTCGATTCCTCGCCTGCCTGAGTCACTCCAGAGTTCCCCTGCCGGCCCCTGGGAACATTCCAGCGGTGGCATTTCTCAGGAAACAAGCAGAGTTCCTGGAAAACATCTCCCGAGAGTAAATCCACCGCGTCCAACCCTGAGCCCCCCTCGGACTCCCTCGCTCCCTTCAGCTGGCAGAATGGGAAGGGGGGACCAGGTGTGAGGCGGGCGCCTGGTTCCCGCCTGGCTTCTGGGCGGGGTCCTGCTGTCTGGGGAGGACGCGGCCCGGAGCTGTGGGCCGACCCGGGAAGCTCGGGGGCTGCAGTCTTCCCCATGGGCACCTAACCCGGCGGGGGGGGGGGGGGCAGGCGCAGGAAGTCCTCTCCGAATCTAAACCTACGGTCCTGATTCCCTCTCCGGGAGTTGTTTGCAAGAGTCCTCGGCGGTCTTGGAAGAAGTCTCAGTTTACTTTCCTGTTTTTTGTAGTACTTTTCCTTTCAAATGATTTTTTTCCCCCAAATAAACTAGAGTGATGCTGGGATCCTAGCATAAGAAATTAAGAAGCCATTACCCTCTGCTGGTTTTGGAATTTTAGCCATGCAATGCAAAAACAGAATAGCTGATGCTAAATCCTATGAATTGGACCCTTTAATTACCCTCATTTTACAAATTAGAAAACTAAACCCAGAAAAATTAAGAAAATCTCTCAAGTCCACATAGATAGCCTTGCATACATACAGAGGGCCAAGGGTGCAGAATATCTATAGGAGGAGCTTATGAAAATATTTTAATTTCTTTTTAGATCAGAAGGAAAAAATGAAATATGCTAATATATTTGTCTTTCTACCAGCACAGTGATATAAATTTCAATATTTTAGAACCAGGCGCTGAAAGGAGAAAGTGAGCAACAACTGGGGGTGTGGGTGCCCAGCACCCCAGTGGAGGCTGTCAGGAGCCCAACACAGCCCAGACCCACCAGCCCCTCCCCAGCAGGGCTTAATAAAGGGCTCAGGCCTGGTGGGTCACATGAAGCTTCATGAGGGCGCTGGGATTGGAAGAGAGAAGTTTAACACAAAAAGAAAGGAAGATGCCAGGCATCATAGCACACACCTCTAATCCCAGCACTCTAGGAGGCTGAGGCAGTAGGATCCTAAATTTGAGCCAGCCTGGTCAATTTGCAAGACCCTGTCTCAAAATAAACAAACAAGGGCTGGGGATGTAGCTCAGTGCAAAGGCCCTGAGGTTGATCATCAGTACCAGAGGGACAGGAAAAAAGAGGAGAAGTGAGAAAGTGGGAAGAATTTAAGGTATGGGGAATTCGCTGTATGGGGCAAGAAAGATTGTTAAACATCTGTTCCAAAACTACTTTTGAATTTTATTCTTTGACATTTCATATCAAAGACCCACATTTAATTATTGCTTCTGTTTTCATTCCATCAGCACTGATTAAGGCCCAATTGTTACTTAAAAGCACAAATAATTATCTTACATAGTAGAAAGGAAAACAGGACTTTTGTTTATTGGTCTTTCCTGTTAGCGATTAACTAATATCCATTCTCTGGCACTTAAGGTCCACCAATAACAAACAAATTGTCCAAAAGCTCTCACTTCCTTATTTTTGCATCAAAACCATATAAACGGCATTTCAGTTTCCATGGAGCAGGTGGATGGTTTACAAATAGAATTCCTGGGAACTGGGGCTTGAAAAAGATGGCTCAAGAGACAAAGGAGAAAGAAGGATCCTCAGAAAAGAAGTGAATTGATAGTTTTTGCCATGAAAACTTTGAGAAATGAAACAGGACTCGTTTATTTATTTATGACCTGTGTGGGTTACTAAAAAAAAAACTTATGATGCAGCAAGATTTTCTTTTTAAGGAGTAACGCAGAAAATGCAGAGAATGAAAAATAAGGATGGGAAAGGCCAGACATCCCCAGGGGAAGAGCGAGGCCCTGGGGCAGGAGATGGGGCTGGGGAGCAGCCGCATAGCGCAGCCACCCTGCCTCGGCAGAAGGAGGTGGCACCGGCAGGTCTCTGAGCGCCCGTGGGAGCCTCTGGAGATCTACCCAGGGTCTCTGGGAGGAGCTGTTAGACTCGCCCTTCTGCCTGCACACGACCGCTGGTGTCCCAGGTCTGCTCGCCCGTGTGCCACTCGGCTACACCGGACTCGGTTTGGGGGCCGCAGGGGTACCTTGGGCTCTGTTCTGCCATTCAGGCCATGCAGGATCCAAGGAGAAGCCGAGGCTGGAGGATGGGGAGCTCGGGCAGGCTTTCGCCGTGGTGGAAGGGCATCTCCCTTTCATCCCCTGATCAGTGAGAATTCCTTAGAGCAGGGCGCTTTTCTAATTCGTTCCACCTTCATGATCTCGCTGAGCCCCGTAGGGATCGCTGGGCTCGGTGTACGAGGAGGGACAGGCTCTGCGGTTCCTTCTGCTGTCCCCAGGACGAAGCGCCTCTCTAGCCACTCAACCCCCACCCCTCGCCCTCGTGCCCTGAACCCCATTCGCAAGGAAATCCCTTCCTGGGGCTCCCTAGGCTCTTCCTCTGCTTCTGCTTCATGCTCTCCTCATGTCCTGCTCCAATGGCAAGCGCGCCGAACGGAGTTCTCTGTGAGGTGCGCAACGGAAGATCAGGGCTGGGCGAAGCGGCCACTACGGGAGGAGGAGGAGTCGAGGGTCATAAAATCCAGCGACATGCACAGGACACAGGGCCCAGGAGGACCCCAGGGCTCCCGAGCGCTATCCATAGACCCAATCAGAAGGCGGTATTTTCAGTCCTTCCTGGGAACTAGGTGCGGTTCGTAGGACCAATCAGAAAAGTGCTGTTTTTCAGTCCTGTTGCTGTCTGGCAGGAAGTCTCGTGAGTTTTTGCCTAGCGCAGTCTACACCTGGTTCCGGGCCAAGTGGGTTTTTGACAACTGTCCTGGTGCCTTCTTTGCACTGGCAGAAGCCAACTCCGGAACTGTGGATACAAAAGAACCCCTGTCCGCTTGCCTGGGCGCTGTGCGCCTTCTCACGCGCCGGCTTACTCCGCAGAGCGTGATCTTTTCGGCCTTCACTAAATGTACGCTTGCGCCGCCTTTTCCGTGTGTCTTGTCTCGTTCACTTCTGTGTTCAGGACACCGAGGATCCGGAGGGAATCCCGCGGGACCCCCTACCTGGTAACAGACGGGCCGTGGGTAGACGCTCCGGTTTCCACACTGTGGCTGCATGAACGCTGCTCTCCTGGAGCCAGAATGAGGCACAGCCTTGAAAGAAACCACAACCCCAGCGCTTTATGTTTAATTTACTTTTTTCAAAAACTGAGATTGCCCTCCCCGCTTCAGTTATTCTAAACTAACGAGACGACCTGAAGGAATGTACTCAGCCAAAGAGCTTGGCGTCCCCTGGTGGCCATGGAAACACAGCGCCTGCACCCCACCCCCACCCCCGGCCAGGATCTGCAGCGGGCAGAGAAGCCCGCGCTGGACGTCGCCCTCCTGGGTGGGTAGGGATTTTCCCAGCTGGGCTCTGGTCCTGGTGAAGCTGCCAGGGCCGGGCACTCTCTGAACCTGGGGCAGTGCCCTGAGGGCAGCGGCAGGGAGGGAACAACCTGGGGCTGCGAGGACGGGCGTGGGCTGGTGAGGCCCCGGGACCTGGGCCGCTGGCCTGGGATTGGGAGGAGCAAGGAGGGCGCGTCCGGAGTGACCCTGAATTCCTCTTTCTTGAGGCTGGGGGAAAGCGAAAGCCCTCACTACTCCCTCGGTCTCCTCTGCGCCCAGCCTTTATACCCTCATTAGCGTCACTGAGTTCCCACAGTCCCGTAACAAGCTTTAAGCTTCTTCTTTTTCTCCCCCACCCCTTTTTTTTCCAGTACCAAAGATTAAACCCAGCGACTAGGACATGCTGGGCAAGCCCTCTACACCTGAGCTACGCTCCAGACCTTTTAATTTGAGACAGGATCTCACCAAATTGCCCAGGCTGCCCTTGAATTTGAGCCGCTTCCATGTCAGTCCTCCAAGCACCTGGGACTGCAGGTGTGCACCAGCACAGCTGGCTTTAAGCATCTTGCCTGGTAAATGCTGTAGATAGCCTAGCAGCTCCTTTGGAACGTAGCATTTATTTTAAACTTGGTAGCTGAGTCAAACCAGTAACATGACATCTACGGCATGATTAATAGGAAAAAAGAAACTGGGGAAACACTATGTGTTTAACAATATTGGTTCAGTAAATGAGAGAACATTCAGACCGTATAAAGAACATGAGCAGGTGTCCAAGATGTATCATGTGAGCAAGTGAGTACTCAGGATTGCCTCCAAGACATCTCACAGGAGAGGAGGTCTTCACACTTGTGTCTTTATGTGCACAGGATGTTTCTGGTTCTATGTGCTAGAAACTGGAATCCACTGCTTCTAAGTAAGGGTCTTACAGAGTTGCAGGGGGAGACTCCATTCTATTGTGTGTTCTTTGGTGCTTGTGAATTGTTTTAACTGTATGTGTACATGTTACATTTCAGACTCCCAAAGGATCATACAGTCATTTCAAGTTATGATTATGAAGATCAACGAAGCAACATGGAAAAATCTTATGATGTAAAGTGAAGAATGCAGGAATCCAAGTGAGTATAAGCATTGTACTCTCAGCTGTGTCAAGATATGCAAATAAAAGAGAAGGAAAGTGAAAAACTTTAAGAGTAATTTTGTTATAGTGTTGAGGTTTTTCATAATTATAAAACTCAACTTTACTGAGGTATAATATATAGTTCAAATGAAATGGCATCCCTTGGAAGTGTATGTTTGGAAGACAACACTTGTACACATTGGAAGACCAAGCTGTACTCCTGTATAAGCATCATCATAATCAGGACACAGAACATTTCCATTATCTCTAAAACCTTCCTTGCTGCATACCCTGTAAATTCTGACCCACGATCAGCAATGCTTGCTGCTGCTATAAATTAGATTTGCCTTTCCTAGAGTTTCATATAAATGGAACCATACAGTATACACTCTTCTTGTGTCCTGGCTTGTTTTGCTCAGTATAATTTTGTTTATATCTATCCTCCCCTTCTTTCTTTGTAACTGACTTCGAGACACTACAGCCAGCTAAAAAATGATATTCCCAGCCTTCTCTGCAGCCAGATGTGGCCATATGATAAGATGATGCCCAATGAAATATAAGTTAGTGTGGGCCTTCTGGAAAAGGTTCTGTAAAAGGCACACATATCCTTTTTCTTTTCTCCTTTCTCTTGCTATTGACTTGGAATGTGGATCTGATGGATGGATCTCTGGCAGCCATCTTGGAATATGAACCGACCTTAAGGATGAACAAAAAAAGAAAATGAGCCAGGATTTCTAATGATGTAGTAGAGCTGCCCTACCAGTTTGACTCCTTTCCTCTCAGGTTGCTTTTACATTTTACATATCTCGCTTTAAGGCAAGTATTTGGGAGTTTTCTGTTATCTGTAGCTGAAAATAATTCTAATTGCTCCAAAAGCCTTCTAGCACTTTTGTGTCTTTTAATTATGTATGTTTGATTAACAATTACAATTTAATTTTTAAAATAGACCTTTATGCCAATTTTTTTTCTGTTTTGGTTTTCTGGGACAGGGTCTTGCTACATAGTTCAGCCTGGCCTTGAATGTACTATGCAGCCCAGGCTGGCCTTGAATTCATGGCAGTCCTCCTGCCTCAGCCTCTCAAGTGCTGGGATTACAGGCATGCACCACCACACTTGGCCTATGCCAACATTTGACAGAAACGGTTCAAGAAACACATCTCAGATCAATATTCTTCAAGATCATAGATGCAAAAATTCTTAGCCAAAAAATTATAAATTGAATCAAGCAATATACAAAAAGAATAATTCATGACCACATGGAGCTTATCACAACCATGAAAGGTTGATTCAGCATTCAAAAATCAATGTAGTTCTGTTGGGCATGGTGGCACACACCTGTAATCCTAGCACTCGTGAGGCTGAAGCAGGAGGATCATCAAGAGTCAAGGCCAGTTTCGGCTATATAGTGAGTTCAAGGCCATCCTGGGCTACATGGCAAGACCCTGTCTCAAGAAAACAAACAACAAAAACCAGTGTAATTCTTCCTATTAATAGAATACAGGATAAAAATCAAATAACCTCCTCAATAGGTACAAAAAAGCATTCAACAAAAGTAAGAATTCCTATGATAAAAACTCTCAGCAAACTAAGAATAGAAGAAAACTTTGACTGATAAACAGGAAAAAACAGGAGCTAGCACTGTCCTTACTAGAAAAAGACAGAGGGCCTTCCCCACAGAACAGGGAGAACTAGCAGCAAGCCCTAGTTTGCCAGCACATCCGCTAAACACTAGCCTGGAGCCCTGGCCATGTACAAGGTGTGGCAAAGAAATAAAAGACATAAAGGTGGGGAAGGAAAAAGTAACTTCCTTTATTTCCAGGAAACACAACTGTCTATATAGAAAATCCTACTGGGTCTTCAAAAAAAAAACAACAATTATACTTTAACAGGATCAAAGAACAGAAGGTTGATATAAAAAAACAACTATCATTTGCACATGGCTGGAACTTCCAGGTCTTAAGCAAAATAAACCACTTTTTCTTTTTCGTTTCCCTTTTCCTTCCTCCCTCCCTTCCTTCCTTTCCGGGGAGGTCTTCCAAATACAGTGTGACGAAGGTAACATAGGTGGTACTCAAGGAAAAAGGGCACTACTGGAGAGAGAATTTAATAAGGGATGGTTTCCAGGGATGCCAGGTCAGGGAACGAACAAAGGATGCCGAAGTGTCTGGAGCCTAGCAAGAGTGGGGAGCTGTCACCCCACCTCGGCCTGAAGGGAGAGGGAGAAGATGGTATCCCGGGCCAGAGCAGGACCCGGGAGGGGCTTTGCTCTGGAGGAAGCAGCCATTGCTGACTGGGATCCCTTCAGGGAGGGGACAGCAAGGGAGCAGCCAGCCACCAGCTCCCCCCGCACCCTAGCCTCCTCCCGGTGCCCCCATCGTGCTGCTGGAAGGCAGCCTTGAGGGCACCATGGCAGAGAAGGCAGACAAGGGACTGGTGTGTGCCTTTAGGGGTGATGCAGATAAACCAGCATGACACACACTCGAGTAACTGAATGCCAGAAAAAGCCCAGCTCCATCCTGGGATTCCCAGTCCTGCTGCGCAGGGATGGCCCTGGGGACACATGGCTGGCACCCTGGCCTGTCCCCTGGGAAACTTAAAAATTTAGAGACCTCGTCTTAAAAATTAAAACTTTTTTTTAAAAAAAGGGCTAGGAATGTAGCTCAGTGCAAAGGCCCTATGTTCAATCCCCAGGAACATGCACACACAACATACACACACAACCCTAATATCTACATTACTAGAGGGGCTCCTTATATTCAGATGCTTCAGTATTGTTCATTCAACAAATGTTTATAGAGAGCCCAGCTGACCCACAGCAAGGAATCAAGGCCTAGGATGATATTTCCCAAGCAATGCACAGCAAGGTGCATATTTGACTTCATTAAGATCATTGCTTTAAATAGCTTTGGGTACTTTCTGCTTTAGCTACTCGTGAACTCTCAGAGATTTAGAAATGTGTGTGAGCATAGTTGGCAAATGTCACTGAGGGGAAAAAAACCACGAATGGTGTCACTGCAGTGTAATGGTGAAGGGCTTGGCTGGGAACCATGGAGACGCTGGTGTGGAGGCTGCAAACCGGAAGGCAGGAGGTGCCCTCCCTCCCTCCACTCCAGCTCTTCACCCCCGGCCACAGAGCTGATGACAGCCTTCGACATCCTCCCGGTGACTTTGAAGGCTAAATGAGAAGCTGCTTGGGAGGCTAAGCATGTAGGAAGCACTCCACACATAGGAAGGACTGGGGCTTTATTGCTATCACCTCCAGTGAGTGAACTGGCAAATATTATATTAAACAGTTATAAAAAGTATTTTTGCACAATTGTAGCCACATAGAGGATCTTCTATGTGCTGTTTTAAAAATGTGCTACTTAGCTGAGCATGGTAGATTCTGCCTGTAGTCCCAGCTACTGGGGAGTCTGAGACAGGAGGATCGCTTGAATCCAGGAGTTCATGACCAGCCTAGGTAATATAGTGAGATTGCATGTAAATTAAAAAAAAAAAAAATATATATATATATATATAATGTATGATATAATACAGATGTGTTCATATATATTATAATACATATACGTGTTGCTTTAAACAGTTCTGTAATTCACACTACTTAATCACCACCTTTCACCCACTTTTGCTGCCCTTATAGCTGTGGGTTTTTTTATCTCTTCCTTTTCTTTGGGTAACTTTTATCTTGAACTACTAAGAGTGAAATGAATGGTGACCTCATGTAGCTACAACAAATCTGACATCGTGGGTTTGTTTAAATAATTTCTTCAAATCAGATTTGTAGAGAGATATGAAAGAGAAAGGGCGTCTTATTCGGGAGAAAATGGTTTCTGAGAATCTGGAGGCTCTGATCAGACGTACTGGAGGGCAGAGGAAACCACAGGCTTCTTCAAAGGCCGCAGAGGCAGGTCGTCAACACCCTAGAGGGTGGGACCCCATCGCTGCCAGCTTGGGGGCTGGACCTCACCCTGGTCCCCGTTGCCACATCTCAGGGGGTCTCTCCTCTGTCTGCTGACTCTCGGAGCCCAGGACAGAGCCCTGGTGCTGCCCAGGGTCTCGGGAGGGCAGCCTGGGCTGGGGCTGGCATGGGCCACAGAGCCTAGCAGAGAGCCAAGGTTTGTTTCTGTTTGAACTTCTATTCCTTCTGAGTGTGAAAAAGAAACAAAGTGTGGTTTGGGTAAAGGCTATTTCTAAAGAAACAATCATTTGTCAAATCTGGAGGAAGACCGTTTTTAAAGAATTGTTGGGTTGGGTTTATAACAAAAAGAAATTGCAGGAAATATTAGCGTTTGCCTGTCAATGACAGAAATTTCGTGGCGCTCCCTTGGTTTCCGAAAACACAAAACCATCTTGCAACCAAGGAATTCCACCGAGCTCTACAGACCCGAGTTTCAGTCTTAGGGTCCCTCTGGGAGCGAGAGTGCAGGTTTCCTGGGCTCCTGCATCTCCCTCAGCTCTTGCTGTGTCCCCTCGGGGTCCCCTCCCCTCCCTGCTTGTGGCCGGGTCTGTGCCTTGGTTTACTCTCCTGCAGTGGACCCGCACACCTCTTTGCACGCTGTTTGGAATCATCGAGTATTTACCGAATAAAAAGTGGTGGGACTGGGAGCATGCTTTTCAAATGTGGTTTGGAATGTGGTTGGAAAAGGTTGTGAGACCCTGGAGCTGGGATATGTAGGACCCCGGAGAAAGGTGTCCTACAAGTTGGCTGAAGTTTAGCTACCTGCCAATGTCCTCCGCGTTGTCTACACCCTCAACGGGTGTGGACCCTAGGCTGGCGCCAAAGGCACTGGAACCACTCTCAGAATGAGGAGAGATACCAATGCCTGACCTTCCATAGGCGCCAGGACCCAGCGAGCAGGGAGTGGGTTTTCTTATCTGGCAGCTCCAGGCCACCCAGAAGCCAAGGGAATGCGGCCAAAGAGCCACTGGGGCCTGAGGTCCGCCAGAGGATGTGACTGCCACCCCTGCTCCTGTGCCCCACAGGTTGTGGGGTCTATACTTCGGCTGTAGGAGCCAAGGGAGTCCTGATTCAGGCGAGTTTCCCAGTGATTCTGCCCTCTGTCCTTTGACCCTAGTCTTGCCCCTCTCCCTTGTGCTATAAGCCCGCCTTCTCCGCTCAGTTAATAACCAACGTGGGTGCACAAGGCATTGGTGTCTGGGAGAAACTGGCAATATGAACTCGTTCACTCCACTAACATTAGTATAGGACCCATGAGGCACAGCAGCACAGGCAGCACTGGACTAATTACTGAGGACTCTTCACTCCTGAGGCTCAGGCGATGTTAATTTCCCCAATTCTTCCACGTGAAATCCCCAAGAATGTTTCGGTGGTTCTATAGGTTTTTCTTCATTTCTCTATACAGAGGTTTGATAACAGAACCTGTTTGCAAAACAAAAGGTCAGGAAGGAGGAAAAACCCCCCACAGAAACCAAAACTAAGTCTCTCAACCAAAAACAGAGAATACGAATCCCATCTGAAATATACTGGGATAACGCAACTGAAATCCCAAGACCTCTAGAATAACTTGTCTCTTTTTAAGGATAGGAGGAGTAGAAGATAATGCATCATATCCTTAAAAACAGACAAGTTATTCTGGAGCAGATAATTCACGTTCACTTGTATCTGTGATAGAGTTTAACTATACCCAAATGTTATTTGCACGGAATTTGAAAAATGAAATCTTCAAGACTTATAACAACAACAAATCATATCTGAGAATGTCTTTTGGAGCCCTTGAGAATCACATTTGGCATCAGCTTGGCTGAGGATAGAACACTAGTTTGCCAATCACTTATGCCCAGTTTCCAGATCATATTGCTCCTGGGTCTT